AGTTTGGTACAAGTGGATAATTGCACTGCTTTTTCTTTTAGGCTTACTCATGTGTGTCTGAGGCCCTCATTTGTGTTTCTTGTTAGCAATGCCACAGTTCCTCTGCCAGGCATTCCCCAGCACCAGATCTTACTACAGCCAGGGGCTGTTGCAATTCTTTCTGACATGACTCACATGTACTTCTGGTGCTTGTGAACTGGGCTGTAGCTTAGCTCAGCAGGCCTACACCCACTAAGGCTCATATTTGCCAATAAGTACAATAGCCAGACCAGCCATCACACACATGAGTAACCCATACCCAGTCACAGCTACTGTGCTTGCCAGTGGAAGTAGCAGCCAGCAAAGGAGTTACCTAAGTTATCCTACCAGGCATTTATATCTCCATAAATACATAAGTATGTATGTGCTGAAAGTTTTACATCTCTAATGATTTTGAATTATATCATAAATTATTATAAGCTTAGGATTAAAAAATATTAACTATATCATAGTAGTCACAGACTTAGCACAGCACCAACCATCACATTCAACAAACAAAAATTAGAGAAATCACAAAATCATGGGAGTAGAAACAGCCATCAAATCTCAAGATGTCCTTTCCATTTCTACATTATTTTGTATTCAGCATTAATCACAACACACCAAGAGAAACACATGATAATTGTCTTTGGGTACTGGGCTGTCTTACTAAGCAAAACATTGCAAGGTGAGTTGCTGAATGGCAGCTATTTGCATTTGCCTCAGTGTAGAAGAAAGTAAAAGAAGATTCACATGAGTCCATCCTGATTTCTTGGGAAACACCTGCTTTCTGTCCTTGCCAGAATGCCAGGGGTCAGCTGGTGCTTAGAGGTCTGGGACTTGCTCATTGAGAAGGTGCCTGGAGCTATAAGTAACTCCTCTGCTGTGTTCCCCCAGACTGTGCAAACTTGGACTAGAAGCAGCCTGCTGTTGCATTTGTTGCCGAAGTCTGGCTCAGGAACCAGTGACTTCCTCCTTCTCTCTACCCTGTCTACTATGGAGCTTCAGTCTCCAGCATCCATCAACTTGAGATTAATTTGGGATTGCATACTGACATCTTCTGCCTACAGCTCACACATAGGTATGCGAAGCAGACATTGCATGAGGTGTCTTAGGTTGTGGACAGAGAACTTTTATTTGGATGAAATGATACTGAACTAACTTAGCTAACATCTGAGATAAGCTAGGGCTGGTGACTGCTATATTTCACTAAGGAATGTATTTTCTTTTTCTTTTTTTTTTTTCTTTTGTGGTTATCAAAGGGTAGGAAATTTCGTTGATCTCCTAGGCAATTGTCATTTCTGGTGAAGAAATGAGGGTAAGAAAAAAAGTCAATTTTAGTAGACAATGAGAGCTTTAAACTGCCTAGAGTACATACAACCAAATTTGCAAAATTTGGAGATTTGGGGGAGATTTGGTCCAAAATGTTCTGTGTGGAGGGAAATGTTGTATAGTGAGAGGTCATATGAATTTTGCAGTATGTGGGAACTTGGTTGTTCATCATATGAGACTGCGTAGAGGAAGAATTTTGTTTTTACATTTTATTATTATTATTATCATTTGATGATAGAGTTTCATATTTTGTATCCCTTATCCCCTCCCCCAAACCCCCCACACCTGGTTCCTCGATATCATTACTAATATATAGCTCTTCATACACTGTTATATGTCCATCATTGCAGGCATGGACAATGCAGAGAGTCCAGAATCCTATTGTCAAGATATTGTAAACAGTTTCATTGCAAGCCCATCTTTGTATGGAAGCAGAAATGCATACTACATTGTATCCTCACATCTGGATGTTAGTCTCTATTTTAAAGCTACTGTAAATCCCCTCAAATTAAAAGTCATAGTACAAAATTAACAACGACAACAACAAAAATAGAAATTTACAATGCCATGAAGTTAAATGACATGTTACTAGATACGACAGTCTCCATTACACAGCTACAATACATCCCCTTAAATGAAGAGCCACACAACAAAATCAACATGAGGAATAAAAAAGAAATTAACAATACCAAGAAGGTAAATAACATGCTATTAAATGACTAACATGTAGCTGAAGAGATGAAAATCAAGAACCTTCTTAAAGAAAATGATGCCACAGCATGATTTATGAGTCTTTGAATGATTTAATCAGAAGAAAGTATTTTGAAGAGATGAAATCAACAGAAAACAACAAATCCCATGTGATATAGTTTCTGCTGATTTTTGTTGGTGAAGTGTGTCTCCTCCAGACAATAAACAGATGGGTTTTGTTTTTGAATCCAATCTACTAATCTATGATGTTTGATTGAGCCTAAGCCATTTACATTCAGAATTTAATATGTATGGGTGGTACTTTGGTCCTGTCATTTTAGGAATAGATTGTTCATTGTTTTAGTCTTCTGTTGTCATTTTACTGGGATGTTCTTCGCATTTGCCTTTGGTTTGGGTAGGTGCTATTCCTCTTTGTCAAGAGAACATCTTGAAGTATCATGTGTAGGGCAGGTTTGGAAGAGGCAATTTCTTTTCGCTTTTCTTTACTGTGGAAAAATTTTATTTCATTTTCAAAGATGAAAGAAAGTTTTGCTGGATATGTTACCTAGGCTGACAATTTTTTTTTCTTTTAGAATCTGGAATATGTCACTCCATTCTGTTCTGGCATGGTACACAACTTTTTGCTTGCAGGCACTTGTGGCAAAACCACCAGCACATTCCAGGTCTGGGTTTTTATGTTGGGTTTCCATCGTGGTCTCCACAGCCCCAGGTCTTGGCTCACCACTCTCCAACATCTGTGATAGTGTCCTGCGGCTGGATGATTGTCTCTGCAACCTTTTTCCTAGTTCTGGTTGAAGCAGGTCCCAAGATTAGAGAGACACTAGGTGTCCTATATAACTATTTTGTTGGTGGCACTATCTTGGATGTTAGGTCTGTGTGCCACATGGACCTATTTTGACTGGTACAATGCCACAGTCAGTATTATTTTGCTGTGGGACCAGTGCAATCCACAGAACTCAGAAAGTTCTTGCGAGCTCAGCACATGCGCAGTTCACTGTTGGCTTCTGCAGTCCCAACGCTATTGTCACAGTGTGAAAATGGCACCTGACCTGCCACTACTAGAGTTCTTGATCTGCTGGCCTTCAGGTCTGAGGGCTACCCAGACCTGTCTTGGGTAGAACAGGTAGAATGCCACATTTCTGCAGTTCATTGCGTCAGAAATCATTTCATTTCCCAGCTCAATGCATGTTCGGTCCTTTCGCTTGCCTTGCCTCCATACTCAAATTGGCACCGAATTCCGCTCTACGGGGCTGACTGGGCTATGAAATCCACCCTGTTTTCGCACCTCCCATCTGGGATCTGCTGCTCTGTCTGCTCCTGGTCAAATTGAATGGATCAGTAAGGCGGACAGTTGTTTGTCTGGGTTCACCTCCCAAGATCCCAGTGAAAGTTCCTTCCCACCTGGTTGCTGGTGGTGTTCTGGCTGTTGGTGGAGTTCAGATCACAGTTAGCTGAATGCCACTGGAGTATCAGTCACTGCAATACCACACTGTTGTGTCCATTGCTTTCCTGTGTCTGTCAGTCTCCAGGTACCCCTCTGCTGTTGTTCTGTCCTTTCCTATTTCCTGAAATATGTCCTCTCTCTGCTTCATCCTGATTAAATGTTTTCCCATCTGTTTAAACATGTCCTTACCCTATTCCACCATCTTGATTCTCCCAGAAGAGGGAAATTTTAACCCCTAGACATTTAATAGCCTCTGCCAACTGAGTCACCACTCTGTCCATTTGGTTTGTGAAAAGGAAATTAGCAAATTGTCTCCCTATTATCCATAAAGTGTCAGGTGAGGGAAATACTTGCATGAGAATCCTGAGAGTTAACAGCCTTCTCTCTGCTCAAACTGAATTCTTGCATGACTCCATGTTATCTTCATGATGCAGTAACAAGAGCTCCATCAATGACACCTGCTTGACATCATCTGTGAGTTGGATACAAGCTAGCGTTTCCAGCACTTGCATTTTCTCCTGCCATTTCAGCACTTTCTTCTTGTGCTGTCAGGTGAGAGTTTTATTCCTACCTTCATTGTCTTTTTCTCTACAAAGATTGACCAATTTCAACAGTTTTTTTCTGCCACAGAAACCTTTGATATGCACTCAATTGTAGTTCAGTGCAATGAAAAATGTACTTAGAAGGTAGGTTGCTATGGTCCAAAATGTCTGGTGCAAAAATATGATTTAATCAGTAATTAGAGGAGGTTATAAAAAATCAGGAAACTCTATATTTTGCACACCATATGAACAAAAATAAGTGCATCTGTTAGGTGCATTTTAGAGACATCATGACATATGCTGTTAAATTAAAGAGGAATTGTGAAAGCTTGTGATTTTCAACTGTCAAAATCATTATCTCATGCTAGGATCCACATCCTTGTTAGTAAGCGTAAAAAGTTGATTCCCTAAAGATAATCTTAATAAATCACCTTTATACATGTTTGCAAAAATTGGCATGTTGAGTTGCTCTTATCATTCAACAACCTAAAGATTCCTCTTTGCTTTACATGATTGAATCATTTACTCTAAGTCATATCTGTTCTGTCTTTGGTCTCACCATTTGACTAAAAATCACTTATTATTCAACAGCAGAAGAAATCCTATTATCTCTTAGGGCATTTGGAATCATATGTTATACACTGCATCTTCCTCTCCATTCTTGATCATTCATTTAATTGGAAAATCAATGGTGAATTTATGACCAGTGATGGATTATATTTCCCAAGTGGTCAAAGAATATCTCATTAAATGTGAGAAATATTGCATGTTTTAGTGAAGCACTGAGGGTGGAAAATAATTTCACTGCAAGGATCAAAATGGGATTGAATCCTCTCCAAATGTGAGAGCTACATTCTGAATGGGAAAACATGAATTTTGGATCTCTGCTCTGGTGGTTACATCTACTTTGTATGAATATGACTCAGGTTCAAATACTTCCTTGTGGTAGTAAAATGCACCACACAAAAGCACCACAGAAAAATGAGAAGCCAATCTCAGCTTTCAGAATTATTTTACCTGGGATTTTCAGAGTACTCAGCACTGCAGCCTCTTATCTGATCACTGTCAGTGGGAACCTGCTCATCATGCAGGCTATCAAAATTGACCACCACCTCCACAAGCCCATGTACTTCTTCCTTGCCAATCTGTCCTTGGTGGACATCTGCCTCACCTCCACCACCATCCCCAAGATGCTGGTGAACATCCAGACATACAGCAGAGTTATCTGCTATGCAGGCTGCATCACAAAAATGTTCTTCTTTCTGCTTTTTGCAAAACTGGACAATTTTATATTGGCTGTAATCTACAACCTGTTTGTGGCCATCTGTCACCCACTGCACTACCAGGTCATCATGAATCCCAGGTTCTGTGTTCACCTGCTTCTGTTGTGTTGGGCCACCAGTCTCCTGCATGCCCTGTTGAAAAGTTTAATGGTGCTGCATCTATCCTTTTGTCTGCATGTGGAAATTCATCACTGTTTCTGTGAACTGAATGAGGTGGCCAAGCTTGCCTGCTCAAACAATTTTCTTAAGGATGTGGCCAGATATATCGTACCTATGCTGCTAGCCATTGTTCCCCTGACTGGGATCTTGTATTCCTACTACAACATCATCTCCTCATCCATTCCATCTTCTCATCTCAGGGCAAGCATAAAGCAGTAAGGGAGAACTCAGAGACATGATAAGAAAGGAGATGTGCTCTGCCTATGCCAACCAGCGTGACTTGGCTGTCTCCATGACATGTGTTCTGCACAGTACCATCTGGAATGGAGAACTAGGAACAATGTGTCTCCTTAGAGGTATCAAAGTGTTCTCAAGGAGGGAGAGGTGAAAGGCCTTACTAGTAACAGTGCTGCAGAAGCCCTGGGCTTCACTACATTTTCAGCATGTTGGCGTACTCCCACTCACTAGAAACCCAAGCCCCATACACTCACAGTCAGTTGGCTTCCACGGAGGCTGAACATCCTCCCTGGTGGGGCCTGTGGGGAGAAAGATGGCAGAAAGCAGAGCTTGAGCCACTCGCCTGGTTTCTGTCTGCACCAGGCTGAGGGGCCTCTCTCTCACCATGGTTATTCTAGAATGCTGATACTGTAGCATTCTGGGCTTGTTATGCTCAGGCGGCTGCTGATTGGACAGCTGGTATGGCCACAGGGCCCTGTGAGGTCACAGAGGGGTAGCCAATTGGAATGCTCCCTGTCACTAGGACAGCAACATGGGCTTAGGTGAGTAAAACAATTGTGAAGGCTGATGTCAGGGTCCACCAAAGTGGGTGTGCTGTTATCTTTCTGTTAGTCCAAGGCATCAATGCCAATGCCTGCGTGCTTCCTGTGGTCTTAACATTGACACAAAGTGTGGCAGCTGGCCTACAATCTTTTGGGTGCAAAACTTCTACAATGTCGTCCCACCCCCATGCCCTTCTTTGGCAACTGCTCTTCATAATGTCCACACATTTGGTACATTATGCCAGGGGTGTGATTGACAAGCTTGTTGTAAAGAGTGCTCACAGAGATTACATACATGCATCCTCTTTGGTTGGTCAGGAACAGGTGCAACTTTGTTTCTATCCCATTGGAGGGGAACCCTTTTCAATAGTGCTGTGTCACTGGTGCTGTATATTGGAAGCATATATGTGACAATCTGGTTGGGATTAAATATGCTACATTTTAAAATGTTTGTCCTATTCGATGTATTTTCTCTTGGGTTGCGGGAATGGATTCAAGGTTTTTTTTTTTTTTTTTTTTTTTTTTTTTTTTTTACTTGTTTTGTTTTTCGTTGATTCAGAAGAGGTTCTCAGGGTGTTGTTTTGAGTTTGCTTGATCTGATTCTCTTGCCAAAGATGGAAGATGGGTTTGGGTTTTGCAGGATACTCTACCTTTGCTGGTGGATTAATGGACCAAATGATTGCCTCATCTCTTCTTGCCTCAAAGTGGAGTCTCAGATTTTTTGTTTTCTGTTGCCCGATGTTTTCCATGACCATGTTTACACTGTAACTTGGAGTCTGGTGCTGAGAAGATGGCAACCCAGGATGCATTCTCAAGAATTCTTTGTTACTTGGCTCAAATGGTACAGGCTTATTTTTGACTCTCTGAATGAGATTAAGCAAGTTATGATTTTTTTAAAAATTTTCTGAATATGCCTTGTGCCTCATTGGATGCTGGGTTTACACTGCAATGCAAGTGATTATTTCATGTTTCTTTAGTGGTAAATTTGTAATTCATTTTTAAAAATTATTATGGTTACAAAGTGTTTAATATTATGCTGATATAAAATGATAAAAGCTAATGTATTGCATGTATACAGTTTCAGAAACATAGTGACACATTACCCTTCCCTAATTCTACTCTTCTACTTTCTGAAATATTAAAATTGGTAAAAGGGTTAAATTACATATATATATATATACATATCTAACAGTAAAATTTCATATCATAACATGGATAGTGGAATTCAAACATGTTTATGAAATATAAACATAATGTTGAATCAAATAATAATAGGTGCTTTCAGAATTAGGGTGTAAGATATATAACTTTTACAAATAGAAGTAATTGCTAGAAGATCATATGTACTAACATTTAGCAGAGATACAAGCACAAATCAGAAATATACATACCTACAAAATTGCAGTTTAGGCAGTGTCTCACTAACCCATAGATTTCTTAAGCTGCAGATCTAAGAACATACAAATGAAGTCAAATTTTCACAAAGAATGATGAAGAGCTATGCTTCAGTGCACAAGGATTTTTAATATCTACACAGTCACTTTTTTCTGTACTATTGATTTTTCTGTAAACTGTTTGCAGACCTCTAAGAAATGCATGGTGAAGCTCTTGAGTGCACCCTTTTTGCCCATTAGATGTTTTGGTTGTGCGAATCCAACCACACGAGAGAAGAGGCTACAGTGTGTGTAACACAGGAACTGCTTCTGCAGCTAGGGTTTGTCTTGTCTAAATCTTTGTGGTTCACATCAGAGCATATTCACTTAGACTCATGTCACAGATAAATGACATGTCGGGCCTGGTGGCGTAGCCTAGTGGCTAATGTCCTCACCTTGAACTAGGCCAGGATCCCACACAGGAGCCGTTTCTGGTCCTGGCAGCTCCACTTCCCATCTAGCTCCTTGCTTGTGGCCTGAGAAAGTGGTTGAGGACGGCCCACGGCTTTGGGACCCTGCAATCATGTGGGATACCCTGAAGAGTTTTCTGGCTCCTGGCTTCTGATTGGCATAGTATCGGCCATTGCACTCACTTGGGGAGTGAATCATCAGACAGAAGATCTTCCTCTCTGTCTCTCCTCCTTTGTGTATATCTGGCTTTCTAATAAATAAATAAATATTTTTTTAAAAAAAAATGACATGTCATCACATCCCTAGACAACCATCCACAGCCATCACCCTGTTTCTCTAGCCCTTCATTGCACAAAAATTTGAGAACAGTTGTTCCATTTGACCTGTCCCATTCCCTGCTCTCACAGACTCTGGTTGCATTCACTTTCCAGACCCCAGTAACCCTGCCTTGTTGAGTTCCATGAACATGTCCCTTTTCATCCTCAAGTACAAGCACTTCACTGAGATCATGATTCAGGCAAGCAGGCCTTCCTACATCCTGCCCCCTCTTGGCCCAGGTCTAGGGAAGTGAGATTCTCAGCTCACCACAGATGGATGTTCTTGGTTGCTATTTGCTGAGTCTTTTCTGCAGCACCTGCTGGTTATTCAGACTTACCTGGATGGGCCTCAGAGAGGCAGGTCTTTAACTGGAAATGCAAGCATATCCATGAAAGCTTCTGCATGCTGTCAGGAACCCTTTTTCTACTGAAGCCGGCAGGGCGGTACCAAGTGCCTGTCCCTGAGCTGGACACAACCAAACCCCAGAGAGCCAAAGTTCCTGACAGTGGTTCCTTGCAGGAGAGCTGTGCACAGCTCCTTGTGCCTGCTCATCGTGCATGTTTCTCCCTAGCATTTCAGCCCCTGGACACATCATTATACTGTGGGACACTGTTCTGCAAAACAAGACAAGTTTATTCTTGCAAAGTTCTTGATGCCAAGATGACAATTCAAAAGTCACACAAAATCAAAAATTTATGAGTTTGTATCTTTGGGCACTTTTATCCTGTGATAACAAAATCTCCTAACCTCATATCACAGGCCTACTACAATTTCCCCCACATCTAAGAATGAGAATTTGGTCTTGATCATTTCCCTGGGAACACCCAAGCATGGGTGTGTGGTAGACATAGTCCCAATTATGTTCAGAGTTGTCAAGGTTCAAATCCCACCTGTAGTCCACATGCAGAGCCAGACCTAAAGGTCTCTCAGGTCTTCCACATCCATGAGGTGGACATTCACTTCCCATGTAACATTGATTTTGTAGTGGCCTGTTACCTGCGAAATTGCTTACTGATACAGTGATGAATGCTAACAGCAACGAGGACATGACAAGGGATCCCATGCTTCTTGTGTTTGCCATTGGATCTGGTGTTTATTGGTAGAACCCATGGTAACCTGGACATACATGCTTATTTGTCAAAACTGTATTAACATATGTTATTACTGAGATTCTCTTCTGCATAATCATGAACAATTTTAGGAACTGTTTTACTCTGGAACAACTTCGAAACACTGCTCTCTATTCTCAGTGCAGAACTTACTGGAGTAAGAAAGGAAGAAAAGGGAGGATGAGAGTGAGATAGGGAGAAGGAATACCATAGGAAACATTGTTATTTTCTTAAAACAAATGTGACATTTTCTCCCTTCCGATATGTTTATTTTTCTTTAAAAATTAGTGGATGCCCACCACAAAAACCAAATATTCCAAAGAGGAAGAATGACTGAAAATTCAACGTATGGTATAAAGGTTTACACATTTCAGGTTATGTATGATTCTGAGACCACTTTAGGTACATTGCATTGATTTTTCAGAATGGGTCTTTTTTGTACACTACACTTAAGGCACCACAATTGATTTGTACAAAATTAGCAGGTTTCAGTACTCACAGTAGAGATTTAGGAACTAGTTATACTTCTCACAATACATTATCCCCTGACCCATCTTCTCCACTACAATCCTTAAAATAGAAATTAAAAAAAAATGAAAATGGAGATAAGGATTATGGAGATATTTATGTAGAGAAAGATTGCATTTTCCATTAGCTGCTTTATTCCCCAAATATCCACAAATGCCAGAGCTGAGCTGATCCAGAGCCAGAAGTCATGAGCTTCTACTAGGTTTCATGAATCAGTGTAGGAACACTGAGTTTTGCCAAACCTCTACTGCTTAACAGGGCCACAGGCTAGCAGCTGGAAAGAAAGTGGAACCCTTCTTGAAGAGCTTGGAAAGGAACTGGCACCCCTATGAGATTCTGGCAGATATAAGGTGATGATTTAGCCACTATGCATTCTTGCCAGGTACTTTTGTATCCTAAGCTGCTCCACGTTGAGTTGGATCAACACAGCTAAAGCCATTGTGGCTGCTTTTAGATGAATCAACAAGCAGAATATGTGTCTCTCCTCCTGTCTGTATAGCTGGCATTGCAATGTAAAATAAATAAATCTTTAAAAAATATATTTGTTTTCTTTATTCAAAAATGTTAAAAGGTTTATAATATAGGTGGACACTCTAAAATTAATTTGTGTGCCTAAAAAAAGAAGCATACAAACAGAGACA